TGCCAGTCCATGTGCCATAGCACGTTCTTCCTCTGCTTCAGGCCCTCCACAGCTATCAGTCCATCATTGTCATACAATAATTCTGCGTGTAATACCCGTCTGAGTCCCACAGAAACTGACATACTGTGTCTGCAGTGAGAGCATGTTAAACCCACTCAACATCCTGTAGAACAGGCCAATTTAACACAGGAATAAACCAATTATCTTCGAAGAGTAGGCAAATTTACAATAGGATTTTCACAATTCCTGTCGGACGTCCGTGTCAGGGGTTGGGCTCCTACACATTAGTCTCTTTCATGACCACACACATTTTCCTAGTCAAAAATCTCATTTTCACACACTCATAGAGAGAGACTTTAGCCTAATACAAACATCACATGCTCACATTCATAGTCTAGCGCAGATTGCACGCCACTAAAGAGAAATCGTTAATACAAGCGATGGTAGAAAAATGAACAGCAACTGAAGGAGCTTCTGTGATGTCCACATCTCTCTTGGCATGTAAACTCTGCTATATTGTAATAACTTTACAAATCAGATAGTACACACGCATTTTAACAGAACAATTCATTAAAGTGCCTTTATAAAAATATAAGCTTCACATTTTTACTTTAAAATACTTCAAAAATTGGCCCCATTGACCATTGTCACTACCTCACAGCTTCTTTTATCATCTTTTTTTGAAGGAAAATACATTTTTACGCAACGGTGCACTATAAATGCTGTCACTTGATCTTAACTTGTACTGAACTCAGAATATTATTGAAAGATATGAGTAGCCTTAGTGTCAAAGAGATCGTAAAATCAATTGGATTATAATACACCACCAAAAGAGACTATACATCCCGCTTGAAAGAGCAGCTGATGTTTGAGAGCTGTATTACAGAGTGGCACTAATCATAGTGTAGGATTTATAGTTGTCATTCAAATGTTTGTCTGACTGCTAGAATGGCATCAACCAATCAACCAAATCATTCTCATTCTCAGCACCAGTAAGATTAGGATACGTAACAGACAGTGTAAGAAAGAAGAGATGGACCACTTGTAGACAAATCCATCTTCTATAGCCACTTTTTCCTATGTTGGTCATAAAGGAGTGCTAGAGCCTACTTGTAGATACATGAATGGAAGAAACCACAACACTCAATATTTGAGCTAAAGACATAAAATTTATGATACTGTTGTTGCCGGATTTTATTGCTGATTTTATGTTATTGAGGCACAAACAATTTTGAAGGCTTCAGTCTTTCCCCATTTAAGCAGACAGAAGTTGTATTAATCACACAGAAAATAGCTGTCTTGGGCCATTGCCAAGATGGCTGCCGAGTGAACTGACTTGCACAGAAAAGGATTTGGCTACATTAAGATGATACCTGGGAACCAAGACCAATATTTGAAATAGAGAAATTCTTCCATCAGACACCACAGCTGTGTCTCATTCAAAACTGAATTGAGAATGCCTTTTAAAATCTAATGACAACATTTGAACTGCAGAACTACAATTTGAATGTAAATGTAAAATATAACTGTGATTTTCAATTCTGATATAAGACAAGCTTTGAATGCTGGCTTGAGGTTTGAAGATTTATAGGCATTACAGGCAGATAGAATGATAGAGATGGATGGATGGATGGATGGATGGATGGATGCACAAAATCGCGTTCAAAATCGGCAATGAATCGCCTGAGATTTTGAACGCGATTTTGTGTAGCGCTTGTCGGTGATCTATGGCTCAGGCTCTGTGTAGTAAATTCCGCTCCATCTGAAAGCACGTGATGGAGATTTACTACTAATCACCAGAAGCAGCTTTACTGACGAGATTCGCATGAAAATCGCATTTGATTTTTTTGCCCAGCCCTAAAACAAACTCTTGTTTCTAATTTGCTAAGGTTAGGTTGTGTTGCATAATAGGCCTTTTTCACAAATTACAACAGCGAATGTTTCAGGTTTGTATCTACAACACAAACACCTTTACACTCACCATTCCTCACTTCTTTTCATCCTTTTTCTTGTCCTCCTTGCATGTGCTCATCGTTGCATCTATTGTAAATTAAAGAAATGCCTACGGCTGTGAGTCAGACAGTCTTGCTGATGACAATAATAGCATTTCTCTATTGCCGTTTTCTTTGTCCAACATAAGTCGTCGAGCCAATGTCTCGTGTCTATTTCAACATGGATGCCTCCTCATTTTCTCCCCACACTATCTCTCTTTCTCAATTTCTCCCTTGGTAAATGCAAGAGCTTCTTGGGTGTAAACAATTACAAGCTTATTGCTGACACAGATTGCTGGAGTCGTGTTAAATAAAATCAGAGGAGTGTTCACCCGAACTGCAAGCTGCCTCCTGCCTGGCCCATTTTGTAACAGTGAACCTCCCCTTTCTCAAGCTTAGCCAAGCTGAAAGGGATTCTGTGCATCACAAAAAAAAAAAAAACATTTGTTCTGCATATACTTGCACTAAAAACAACAAAAACAAACAAAAAAATCCATATGTATCTGGGTCCCTTTGATAGCGCAAAATCATCAAAGGAGTAAAATGCATTTCAATTACAGGACACACACAGACAATTACTGTACAAGGAAGGACTAAATTGAAAAAATTAAGAAAGGTGTGTTTATGGACATCATAAGCACATAATACGAAATAAATGTAGAAATACAGTTGGAGTGCAGAGTGTCTGTTTTTGTCTTCTTTTTGGCTCTTCTTTAAGCATTTTTTCTGCTCCTCGTGTGTTTTTATAAGTGTTTCTGTAAGAATTTTTTCCTCTGCTTATTATTTTTCTTTGCCCAGCATGTGACAAGGGACAGAGGCCTTTCAGCTCTTCTAGTGTTCCAAGTAATGATGAAGAAGCCTGAAAGTTGATTTGAAAGGCCTGGCTGTATTGCAAAACTCCCCAAATCTCTAAGTCTCACAGATATGTCCAATGCTTGTAAGCCATTAGCTAGTATACCTAGAATGTAACACAAGCTAACCACACAAGACCTGCGCTATCTGCTTCATTCAGGAAAAAAACAGGCTGTCGCTGCTCTATTGGAGCCATAGCCATGCGAGTAAGATTTCCAACATATGGTGAGGCTGCACTTTGGGAGACCTGAGTTCGAGTCTCGGCTCAAGGTCCTTTTCTGGTTCAATCCCCTCTCTCCTCTACCATGATTTACTGTCTGTCCTTCTACTGTGCTATCTAAATAAAGGCAAAAAGCCCAAAAATATAACTTACAGAAAAAAAAATCGGGCAGTGCTATGCAAAAAAAACCCACAAAAAAAAACATCTCCCCACATTTAGAAATATCCATGTTCGGCCTCTCATTTAAAGATGTGTGAAGTGTGTCTTTTCTGCCTCTAGCGACAACAAACAGAACTGCACACCCTCCAACTGCCACTGGTCGGACTGACAGTCTTGTCCTGCCCACAATTGCCCACTCCATTGGTTGGGTCAATGGTCCTGTGTTCAGCTGGTTAGGATTCTCAAACAGTGTAAAGCCATAGTGTTGACACACTTTTCTGGTAAATCAACCAGTAAGGACTTATCATTAAGTATATAGGATTTACTATAAGTATAGATTATTTTTAGACAGTAGGCTACTTTATAGACAAAGCACATTATACACATTTAAGTGACAGACACTCCACAAATACTGGGGATACATATTAGATACCCTGCAAAATATGCATTGACTTCAGTCAAAGATATAGACAAAACAAATAAAAATTCAACATTTTTGTGGCATACTAATATCGATGTAACGTACGATACGCTAACGAAAAACGATCCAGCCTGCTGTTGCTATGGTTACCTTGCCAGACGAACGCGACTTCTGTTTGCATACGTCTATTTTGTAAACTCTGATTAACTTGTAATCTAACTTTTGTGGTTGAATTACAGCTTATGCTAGTGAACCGTATATACACACATATATAAAAAGGAATACATAGGCCTTCGAGACCACTCACAACCTTTTGTTGACTCTCTTTTTTGGATAGGGGTTAAGCTTTAGGGAGGTCAGACCTTGAAATCTCTGTCAAATCCAAACACATCATATACAGGTAGGCTATTTCACTCAAAACCAACGGGTGATGAAAGCAGCAGCAAATCTGCCTACTACCACCAGTAATCATTATTACAAATAAACATAGCAAAAACAACGTCTGTCCTACTAAAAGGGCATTCGTGCTATTAATATATTTTGGGGAAACACATGGCACGAGCAGCAGAGCGGGCGATCCAGCCCTGCCGCCGCCGCGCGCTCGCTCAAGCGCAGCCAGACTCACTTTGCGCCTAAAATCATTATTAGCGATTCAAATGAGTGTCATCAGTGACGCCGTCGTTAGAGAAGGGACTAACCGTTTAATATTTGCCCCGCGAACACCGGGGTGTCGGTAAACGTGTCTGCTGCTGCCCCGCGATTCCCTGAACGGCGACAGACAGACAGAAGCGAGCGCGCGCGCTCAGTCATGTGGAAGGTCCGCGTTTCCCAAGAGTGAGTCCAGTAGTTAATAACTCATATACATATATCACAAAACCACTGCTTATGTGTGGACAGGACGCAAGCCGTAGCCTACTGGAGTACATACTATAGTTTTTTTTTTTTTTTTTTGAGACATTAGGCTATCAATGGTGAGCATCAGTACTTTCTGTTGAATGTGTGTTCAATCAATGTGTTTATCTATACATTAATGAAAACAATCGTACAGCGGACTTTAGATGCACGTTAATATAAATTCAAGCGGACACAAACTGAACAAAACACGAGGGTGTTTCTTCTTATTCACGTGGATTTACAACCGGAACAGTCAATAAAGAAAAAATAAATAAAATAGGCTATATTCAATTTGAAATGAATACATTTTCAAATAAATCCTTCGTACGGCGCACGCGAGTGCTTATTCCTTAATCCTACATTCAAAAAAGAGACTCTAAAATATGAAGGAGACAGAAGCGCTGCCTTTGATAGCTCGCGGTAAATTCATCCCGTGTGATCATAGAAAATATGAATATTTTACCTTGTAATGTCGATCTTATTGCGTGGACTTTCTTTCCTGCGCTGAGTGAGTCTGTCGGTGTTCAATGACAAGTACTGAGTCAAATACTGTATGAACAGGGCAAACGCTGTTATCGCATCTCTCTCTCTCTCTCTCTCCCCTCTTCCTCTCTCTCCCATAATAAAACGACTGTTTTAAAATCCCTCATCACGTACTCACTCTCCCTCGCTCTCAGCAGTCTGCAGCCTATCACAACAATCATGACAACTATCTCTTACAGAAATCCCATGCATAATAGAAAATCAATTCCTATAATTTTGCGATCATCACAGTTTACAACATCATTAGGCCTTATTATTGTAGACTATCGGGTGAGTGCAGTTCTTTGCATTTCCCCCTATTTCAATCATTTCTCTTAGGCAAGACAGCACAACAGAAACACTATGTGAGTCCAATATTAAAAAGACTATCCCTCCTCCATCATAGAAGCAGAACGGAGCCAGTCAACGCATAAATGGTCGTATTATCCACCCGGGAATGACTGTTTTCTTTCTGTTTGGTGTTGCTGCCAAGGCTTCCTTTGTGTGTGTACGTGTGTCTGTGTATCTTTTGGGCTTTGAAGGGCACAGTTTTTAAAAAGTGATGAAGTCTTTGACCCATGTCGTCCTTCAGCTTCAATATCACCTCTTTTACTCATGACAATCGTTTAAAAACAACTGATCACAACAGCACAGGAAATGTATTTCAATGTTAACTAATGCTTAAATGGATAGTTCACCCAAAATGTAAAAAAAAAATTCTTTCATTTACCCTTATGGGGTTCCAAACTTGTATTTTTGAAGAAATTTTCAACTGTTTTTGTCCTTATGAAAGTCAAAGTGGTCCAAAACAACATTGTACCACTCTGGTGCGGTCGCACTTCAGGCAGGACTCGAAGGTCAATTTCCCTCTTTCCTCTCCCAAGATTTCTTGTCTGTCCTCCTAGTGTGCTATCTAAATAAACGCAAAAAAAGGATTATGTCGCCTAAATGTGAATGCATCTTAAGACACTTTTTTATATTTTCTTTTGTGTTCTGTTTTTCTTTTGTATTTGTGTTTTTGTGTTTCACACATATGTTGTTAGATGTTGCCAGTATATAGATGGTACTGATTGCATCCCTATAGCACACCCATTGGAGTTGCTTTTTTTTATTAAAGCAACTTGAATTCTTGTTAGCAGGTCCTCAACCCAAGCACTCAACATTTCAGCACAATGGTAACTCACCCAAAAACACCAACATAACAGAAAGTCTTTTGAAATACCAACATAATAGAACATTAAACATTAACAAGTCTCCCTGTTTCTCATCTTGCTAAAAAATAACACTTTATTTCATAATTTTCTCTCCCTATCCAACTAACATTGCAGATATTACAGTTGCTTAGCTAAATATAATATAGAGATGAAGACCGATGGAAAGTGGAAGCCGTGAAACATTAATCAAGTCAAGTCCCCTTCATTTTTATAGCGCTTAATACAATTCAATAGAGATTGTTTCAAAGAAGCTTCACAGTATTAAACACTAAAGTAACAGAATCAATGATGCAAACTTCAAAAATGAGGCAAATTCAAATTCTGCTGCAAAGCACCTATAGCAAGACAATTGTGTCATTATTCAGCTTCAGTCATTTCAGTGTTGGTTCAGTCCAGTTCAGTAAAGTTCATTCATTATGAAACAAGTTGAATTTAGCTATAAGCAGCTCTACTTTAGACAGCAGTGTTGTTCAACTCGATTCAGTTCAGTGTTGATTCGATTCAGTTCAATAAAAGTTTTAATGTTGCAAATTTCTTCCATTTGAACAAATTCAATTCAGCTATAAAGCAGAAGACAACAGTATCATTATTTAGCTTAATTCATTACTGAAGTCACTTTTAGACCAAGTTTTCTTTTGGTCAATGTGGCAATGGCCAACCTGAACCTGCTGCGAAATGTGTGTAGCGAATTCTTTCACCCTGAGGCTAAGTTGCATTGCCTATTTGAAATAACTGGATTTTTCCAGGAACGAAATTGCAGAACTCTGGTAAATTTGACTGCACCTTTACCGTTCCTGTAAAATTTGCCTAAAACGCCTAAAAAAGGCATACCCAAAGTAAATTGCATGCTGTTCTTGAACCATTTGGAGTACATACATGGTTTTGGTCTCTTTTGAAAGGTGACACTCTGAGGTGTGTTCCTCAACAGAATCAGAATCACTGTAAGTCTTATTGGTATTGAGTAATAGAACTCTGAACACACTGAAAAATAAAATAAAAAATCCGCCTACAATTTTTTTTGTAAACAGATGCCTGCAGATGACTATAGCTGGGAGCATGCAGAGAATAGTTCAGCACATCGTCGGAGGTAAGCTTCCCTCCCTCCAGGACATCTATACCCAGAGATGTGTGAGGAAAGCATGAACTCTCTCCGTCAAAAAAACACTTTTATTGTACGGCCAATTTTATTGTTATACATTGTTTAACAACTTCTTAGAACAAAATGTTTGTTTTTTGTGTTCTTTTTGATAGTTTTTTACCTATAACCACCTTTCCCAGTTATCTCTCATACAGCGCTCATTATGCACGGACGCACCAGTCACTCTAATCCTTTGCGCACGGATTTCTGCGCACGATATGTTAAACATGCCCACTCGCCGCATATTATTCTGTTCAGAAGTTCATTGGCTATCAGAAACGACAGTCATTTGCAAACTCTGATGCAATTGGATCGGTCTACTGTCGATCAAAGAGAGGTGGCCTCATCCTTCATCCTGGATGCTAGTTGGCTATCGCTGCCTGTAAACACCTCATAGATTCAGCTATTGGTTCAAATAAATACTACTACATTCCGTGGCTGTTTATCAACATGTAAATGTGTTATGGACTAAATATTTCCCTGAATTGGATAGTCTGGACCCTTTACAGTGTAACTACACCATTTTTGTTGGAATGTAATGAACTAGTGGACTAACAAGAGGCTTCATAGGTGAGTTCCTTCAGTCTTGTTATTGTTTATTTGGTTGTTGTTGGTCTGACAAAGACACTGATTGTACCTGCTGTGTTGATTGTATCTTAAAATGGTTGGCGTCATTCGAATCACAAAAATCTCAGCTTTCCAAAGATATATGACACGTTTACCTTTTTTACTGTGTGTGTTTCACGAAGTTAACCCTCAAAGTACGGAGTGTACCGCGGGCAGCAGACTGGAGCTGCATTCTTCTAAATAACTTATTTTGTGTTCCACACAAGAAAGAAAGTTATTCAGGTGTGTATCAAAATGAGAGAAAGTAAATGATGACAACATTTTCATTTTGGGGTGAACTATCCCCTCAAGTATGGGAAGCAGTGACAGTGGAAAAATCAGCCGAGCCAGTTATTTTCAAGAATTTTCAGACAACACAAAAAAGCACAGACAGACTTACAGCCGAGAAAACAGGCGGCAAAATTGCTGATATCTCCCATCCTCCATCTCCAACGAGCATGTTGTCTCTCTCCACCTGTCTACCTGTAGCTGTCAATGACAATACTGATAGCTGTCCTCAGAAGAGGCCTATTTTCCTCTAGGTTTACTTTTATACTATTCAATTCAATTCAAGTTTATTTGTACAGCACTTTTCACGATACAAATCATTGCAAAGCAACTTTACAGCAAATTAAGTTTCTACAATATTTAGTGGTAGCTTATCAGTGATGACTGTCAGTCAATGTACATATGGCAGAAATGTACGGAAAAATCAATTAAAGACGTAATCAAACAGACGATGAACACTATTAAATGATCATTAGGCCTCATGTTGTTCCAAACTTGTATGATTTTCTTTCTTTCTTCTGTGGAACACAAATGGAGATATTTGAATGTTGGGAACCAGCACAGAGCTCCTATTCTCCATCTTCATTACTTTACTGTCTTTATTTAAACAAATACGATTCCCAGAGCAGTTACACTGTTACACTTCATATATTTATTTATTCATGAAAAATACTACAGTGAAATTACTGAATCAAGAAAATTCCATCTGCTGAGAGAGAGACTGACCTCTGAGTCCAGGTGAGCTTCCAGGTCCACCATCAGGAAGATGTAATCCACCGGGATCGAGGACACGAAGTCCACGAGGAACCAGCTCTTCAGGTAGCGCTGGCGGATGGCCTTGTGGTGCGATGAATGAAGCTGAAGTAGAATACTTCAAGTAGAATACTAGAAGTCTACTAGCTGTAGAATCTACTTTTGTTATTGTATTTCTGATGTTATTTATTTTATCAGTGAAGAAATTCATAAAGTTATTACTATTAAACTGTGAGGGAATATTTAGATCGGGTGGTGTTTGGTTATTTGTTAATCTAGCCACTGTGCTAAATACAAACCTTGGATTGTTTTGGTTATTTTCTATGAGTTTGTGGATATGCTAGGCCCTGGCAGCTTTTAGAGCCTGTCTACAGCTGGACATACTGTTTTTCCACGCAATTCTAAAAACTTCCAAGTTAGTTTTTCTCCATTTGCGCTCAAGACTACGAGTTTCTTTCTTGAGAGAATGGGTAAAAAAATACTACTATAAGCCTTGCTAATGTGCTCTATAGTGTGCGGCTGGCAGGCCAAGAGGGGTGCAATTTGGCTGCCTAGAATAAATTGGTATCTATTTTCCTGACATCTGGTCTTTTAGAAAGATCATTACTTTGATCTTTTTAGACATTACGACAAGAGTGGGTTCTGAGACTTGTTACTTCACACTCTGCCGTTTCATTCCCTGTAGCATAACATCTTCTCACTCCTCTACTTTCTCCATCTGTCCCTTCTCTCTGCCTCTTCATTTGTAAACCCTCATTCTTACACTTTCTGCAAAAAATACATCTAAGGGAATTAAAGGAATAGTTCACCCAAAACTTAACATTGTTTACTGACCCTCGTGTTGTTTCAAACCCATATGAGTTTCTTTCTTCTGCAGAACACAGGACAGACCGCTCGCAGTTCATGAGATTTTTTATTATTGTTGATTATATACGTTTTATTGTATCTTTCTAGGGAGTTTCACATTGCCAGTCAACTTTAGCTCGCTCACTGAAGGTTTTATGGTAATATTTCGAGTAAAGCTGCTCAGTAAAAATATTTATGCTT